AAAGACCGCGTTATGTATATTACGCAATTTTACTTTCTCTATTCAAACGGGATTTGTTGTACGTATTTATTTTAAAATGACGTGTACATATGTACATATATAAACATTTTGAAACATATGTTTAAATGTTAATTCATTAAAAGACTTAGCAGGCTACAGAATATTACAAGATTTGGCCCTTAGCAGACGAGGATAATGCACGTTTTACAATGTGCCAAGAATTTTCCCGCTACAACTCAAAGAGAAGAAATGTAGTGGCGGATCTAGAGGGACCATAAAAGGAACAATTAATTGGTGTGCGGCCGATTTTTGACGCTTGCGTTTTATGTTTCTTGTCTTAATTTTTAGAAAAACACAGGTACGTGTGGACAAGACCCCCCCCCACCCCCACCCCCACCCCCATCCCCTTGATATTGAACCCCAGGGCTTATTTCTCTGTTATGTGTAACCTTACTATACGAAAAAATCGCTGGCGTAAAACCCCAAGAATAATCGCTCAACTAAAAAAAAAACCAAACCAAAACAAAAAAACACAATTTATTACCCCACTTTACAAGAAAGAATGCTGTTTACGGAGAAAATGTGGGATTATTACGTGATGCAGAGTCAGTCCGAAAGCATGGACTATAAGACAGAAATACATTGTATATTTAGAGACAGTGCAGTGGCGGATCCAGAGGGGGGGGGGTTACGGGGGTTGCAACCCCCCCCCCTTTGGATTTGCAATTTAAGAAAAAGAGAAATAAGAAAGTTCCAATTTTTTCGATGTGTTTTTACTATAGGAAATGTAAGGTGAAAGGCTAATGTTGTATTATATAAAGAAATTCGGTTGTAAAAACAAAATAAAAACCCTCCCTTTACAAAATAGGATTTTCAGGTTCGGAGATTTATTTCCCTTTCTTTTTCAAAAACTTTCTGGTAATGTATACAAGTACTTTTTCCCAGATTGATCAACGTCCCACTTTCAAAAACCATACTCCACCCTGTATCGATATTCTATTGAGTTATTTAACTATATGTATGTGTACAACGTACGTTTTAACTGTTTTCGCCTTCAACCCCCGCTTTTGAAAAATACTTCAACCCCCCCCCCCTTTGAAAAATTTCTAAATCTGCGCCTGCAGTGTGAATCGACATTTAAAGTTAAAACAAAATAAATGCATTTAATACCAGAGGGGGTACAACGTAAACAGACTGGAGTGGCATATCTTTCTCTTATAATGTATTGTGGGTATTTGGGGGGATGTTGAGCGCTTATTCTGGGGATTTTACATTTTTTTGTTATTGTATATATGATGAATAAGTTAAATAAATATATCTTATGAAAAAAATTTCCAATAAGCCCTTGGGTTGAATATAAAGAGAGTGTGAGGGGGGGGGGGGGGGGGGGGGGGGGGGTCCCGCCCACAAGTACCTGTAGTTTTCCTAACAGAAGAAATTCATAAAAATGACGCTTAGTAGACAATTCAAAAATGTATATACTCCTGATATATGAAATCTGTTTAATATTTAAGAATCTATAATATAAATTAAAATATTTTTTGCTGATCAAAATTCCATTAATTATTTAAATTTCCTTCTAATATATATAACACTTTTTCTTGCATTGTAATTTAATCAAGTGAACCTTTGATATAATTATATTGAACTATTTCTTTATAGTAAAAACATAAGAAAGGGAAGTAATTAAATCTTGAACCCGCTTTTGATTGGTTCGTTTGGATCTTGAATCTCGAAACTCGAATTTTGAATCTCGAATTTCGAATTTTGAATCTCGAATTTCGAATCTCGTATTTGGAAACTCGAATCTCGAATGAGCCTTCTGGGCTTTCGTACTTAAACTCTGTTTTATTCTAAAATTCTCAGGTTAGTAATTCTCAAGATTTGAGTTCAGAATTTTTTGGAGAATTTTTAAAGTTTTATGACGACGGACCCGGGTCTCCCGATCACGAAGCGAACTCTCTACCACTAGGCTACCGTGACCGGTGGGGGGAGGGGGTTCTGGAAAAAAAACAACATGCTCTTTACGTTCTGAGATCTAAATATACCTGAGATATTTGAGATGTGAGATCTGAGGAAAAATCGACACGATCTCAACACTTTTTAAGTTCTAGAAATTTATAAGATATGAGTCTTGAGTTATTAGATCTGGAAAAACAGCCGTTTTTCCTAAGTCATTTTAATTAAACTGCATTGAAAGGTTTCTAGAGCCAACCGGAAGAAATATTATCGCTTTACATTGGATATCCCTTATACATTTTTTCATTGGCAATCTCAAATTAGATAGTCCTTTTTTAAAATTTATTTTGTAAACATTCTTTGAAATGACATCCAGCTTAAAGATCACACTGCTTTCGGACCAAGATGTGATCACGTGATTGAGTAAAATTCAACTTGTAACATTGCTTTCATTAAACACGTATCATATGGCAGAAGATATTTTTTTCAAATTAAAATACTTACATTATGTTTTTTAAGCATTTTTTTGAATAATGAATGGTCACACTCACGACTACAGGTACAAATAGTTTAATCAAATAAATGTTGGGGAATTCTTTTAAAAGGGAACAGGTAAAAAAGTATTTAGCTCTATATAATTGCATCAAAATTTTACTTCTGTTTTGATTTATTTTGAAAAGGGGGATGTTAGATAAAGTCTTTAATTAATGATTAAGTAATTTTCAGTACCTACAACTTTGACGTGATATTTAAGGAATGAAGCTTATTACAACTTATGTTATCCGATATAACATAACTTGGGGCAGTTTACGCTTTATAAACCGCGAAGCGGTTTATAAAACAGCGTAAACTGCCCGAAGTTTTGTTATATCGGATAACATAAGCTGAAATTAGCTTCATTCCTTATAATTTAATTCCAGTGTAGACAATGAGAAAATATTTCTACCGGAAAAAGACTTCAAATTGAGCATTATTTTAAAAGTAACGTCAAGTGGAGTAATACGTTTTTGACGTAACTCATTGTGACGTAGGCAAGTTATGTTATCCAAAATATTATATGTTACTCTGAATGATTCAGCCAATGAAACTGCTTGACACAAGTGAAATTAAATTATTTTGTGTTATCATGAAAATTTACTGGTTAGAAATCCCAACTATTCTTTTTTATCCACTTTGATATGTGAAAGGTAAAGGCAAAAAATGACTGATCTCAAAAGAAATAAAAACATCACAAATACGAGAAGAAATAAAACACAGACCCTTGGAATTCTGGAGATCAAGCATTTAATACCAATAAGCATTCCTTGTTGACTGCCACCCTAAGCTCCATGTATTTATCAGTCGTGGAACGGGACACTTTTGTTTTTACAAAGATAGAGACTGACATAATAAATAGCATTGAACAGTGTGAAGTAGGTTACCACCCCCAACCCCCAACCCCCCCTTCCACGTTCAAGATGTAGTTCGCAGTTTAGACCGAAAAGGGAAAAAAGTAAATTTTAGTGTTTGGACAATTTTTTTTTGGTCTTTCACTTTACCCTCCTTCCCCACTTCTAATTTGCTTCCGACGCTAATGTCTTGAGATATGACGCAGAACTGTACGGCTTTAAATTTTCAGTATCTATATTTCAGTTGATTCAATACGCAAGAGCAAATTAATGAAACAACATTAGCAGCATTTTCGTTAAAGTGATAATTTCGGAAGTCCTCTAGTCGATACAAGATCCTTGTTGGTAAATACTATCTATCAATTAGTCCAGTACTGATTTACATTTTCATTCTTATTGTTTGGCCATTTTTACACACTGAATTGTCGATAGATTTACTGTTATTTCCCAACATGACAAGGAGTTTTCAGCAGATTTGACAAGTCAAAAAGTTCTCAATGACACCTGAACCCACCTCTGATTTTTATAGGTGCATGTTTCTCTGCTTGAAACGTTGATTTCTTTGATGGGCTTTGCGCATCAATACTGTGATTTTATTCAAATATATTTCAATAGAGACAATCTCCATGCCTTGTTCCTTGATTTTCTTTTCATCCCTGAAGAAAATTTGCTTTTTTCTAGCCATTTTTTTTCAGAGATATGGCCCTTAAGATCTTGTGTATTCCCTTGTTTATAACTGTATGATTTTATTTCAAATGTTTACATGTTTATTCTTATTTCAGGAATCGCTGATTTGGAATGCTAACAAAATGCCAGTAGAACAAACGCTTATTTTGTGGACTATTATATTCTCAATGTACTGGATAAATTATTGCATAAGTCAACGACTTGATCTCGACTTGGGTACATGTTCTGGACAAGACGATACAACCACTTTAATTGAGCAAACGAAGGCTCTCCTGCAGCTTGCCAATAATCAAGCTATCAAAATGAGTATGCTTGCGAAAGAACTTAAGGAAGCAATGCTTTGGCTCGATCAAGCTAATAAAACGGAAATGCTTGAGAAAAAAATAAACTCGCTTAAGGAATCAGTGTCCAAAATCAATCAATCAAACTTCGATCAAGTTAATAAAACGGAAATGCTTGAAAAAAAATTGAACTCAATCAAAGAGCAACTACCCGAACTTGATCAAACTAATCAAACGGAAATGCTTGAAAAAGAATTGGACTCAATCAAAGAACAACTACCCAAACATGATCAAGCTAATCAAACGGATATTCTTGAGAAGAGGTTAAACCCAGTAGTTGAAGCACTGTCAAAACTCAATCAATCAAACCTTGGTCAAATTAAAAAAACAGAAATGATTGAGAAAGAATTGAACGCAATCAAACAGCAACTACCAAAACTTGATCAAGCTAATCAAACAGAAATGCTTGAAAAAGAACTGGAATCAATCAAAGAACAGCAACCCAAAGTTGATCAAACTAATCAGACGGAAATGCCTGAGAAGGAATTACACTCAGTCGTAGAAGCACTGTCAAAACTCAATCAGTCAAACTTAGATCAAGCTAAAAAGGCGAAAAATGCTTGAGAAAGAATTAGACTCAATCAAAGAACAACTACCGAAACTTGATCAAGCCAATCAAACAGAAATGCTTGAGAAAGACTTGGACTCAATCAAAGAACAACTACCCAAACTCGATCAAGCTAATCAAACGGAAATGCTTGAGAAAGAATTGGACTCAATTAAAAAACAACTACCCAAACTCGATCAAGCTAATCAAATAGAAATGCTTGAGAAAGAATTGGACTCAATCAAAGAACAACTACCCAAACTCGATCAAGCTAATCAAACAAAAATGCTTGAGAAAGAATTGGACTCAATCAAAGAACAACTTCCCAAACTTGATCAAGCTAATCAAACGGAAATGCTTGAGAAAGAATTGGACTCAATTAAAGAACAACTACCCAAACTCGATCAAGCTAATCAAACAGAAATGCTTGAGAAAGAATTGGACTCAATCAAAGAACAACTACCCAAACTCGATCAAGCTAATCAAACAGAAATGCTTGAGAAAGAATTGGACTCAATCAAAGAACAACTACCCAAACTTGATCCAGCTAATCAAACGGAAATGCTTGAGAAAGAATTGGACTCAATCAAAGAACAACTACCCAGACTTGATCAAGCTAATCAAACGGAAATGATTGAGAAAGAATTGGACTCAATCAAAGAACAACTACCCAAACTCGATCAAGCTAATCAAACAGAAATGCTTGAGAAAGAATTGGACTCAATCAAAGAACAACTACCCAAACTTGATCCAGCTAATCAAACGGAAATGCTTGAGAAAGAATTGGACTCTATCAAAGAACAACTACCCAGACTTGATCAAACTAATCAAACGGAAATGCTTGAGAAGGGATTAAACTCAGTCAAAGAAGCACTGTCAAAACTCAATCAATCAAACTTCGATCAAGCTAGAAAAGTGGAAATGCTTGAAGAAGAATTAAACTCAGTCAAGGAAGCGTTGTCTTTATGTAAGATTTTTTAGAAATAAGATATTATTGAAACTTTTGCATTTATTATTGAAACACTTAAAATATTACTTTCAAATTATCCTTTCACGTCACTATCAATGGGGAATATATATACCAAATTTATACAGCTGGTTATGATTATTTTAACTTCCTTTCTCACATTACGTTTGACTGGGACTTCAAATATCAAGTTAAGATGGCATGGCATAATTAACGCTTATCAATTATCAATTAACTTTTAAAATAAAAAAGATTATTTTAGCTTTTTCGCCGTCAACACGATGATTTAGCCAGCCTCCTTCAAAGATTAGTTTATTCTTCGGGTGCGGTGAATGTGAATGTTGTACTTCACAG